CTTCTAATAAAATTTGCTATAATTGAAATTTTAATTAAAGTTCGTCCAACTTAGAATAGTAATGAAGATTTACGAACAAGGTTGCTCGCGTAGATCTTTTACATTCTGATTAAATTTAGTGTATTCTTACTTTTAGTTCAAGAAATGATGGACTTCGACCCAAGTAATATGAATAATGAAGAATTCAATCCACTGGTATATATTCATAAATACGTTAGAAATTGTCCCTTACAGCAGGTACTGACAAAAAAGAATAATCTTGATAAGGAAATTCAATCGTTGGACGCGGACATAAAAGGACTTCTTTACGACAACTACGCTAAAATATTCTCTGCCTCGAATGTTATTACCAGAATGACGAAGAAAATGGATGAAATGGCCACGGATATTCAAATTTTGGAATCCAATGTAACCACCTTGAAAGACACCAGTGAGAATATTTTGTTGTCTTTACAGGCATCCAAACAGAAACTTCGCGTACTCATCAAGCGCAAAAACAATTTCGCAAAACTAGAAGCGTTGGAGAATCTTGTGCCTTCGTTGGAAAAACTAATCAAAGCAGGTGAATATAGCGAAGTTGTGAGGCAATACTTAAAAGTAGAGAAGGCCTTAGAGGAATATCAGTCTCTTCCAAGTATTGCAAGTATAAAAGACAAAACGGGAAGAGTCATTGACAAATTGAAAACAAAAATACTTGACGAACTGGGTGGGGATATTTATTGCTGGAAAGACATTTCGGCTCGAATTGAATTAATTTTGATTTTGGGGGAAGACAAAAGCGTCACCTTCGAAGCATTTCTCAAGAAAGATTGGATTTGATATTTGCTCATTTTGACAGCGAGTTCGACACATTAGAAAGCGAAGTGGAACTGTCATCAGAAAACAAAAGAATTGCGCTGTTGTGTGATTTCAATTCAAAAACAATGGATGTTTTAACTATGATTTATATGACAACGAAAAATACTTTTTTAGAAAACTGCTTGGGCCACTCCGCCCTGTGGGTTAGTAAGGCACTTGAGAATTTTTTGGTTGATAATGTAAAGAAACTTCTAACAAGACTTCGACACTATTTCAAAATATATTTCACTTTTATGGATGATCATCATTTTGCTCATGTTTTGGATATTCTGTATCGTAGGTTTCATACATTCTTCTTGTCATCAGAGAAATTACCAATATTTAAGCATAATTCAGAATTTGTCATCGATATTTGTCGAGATCGCTGCAATCATCATTTTAACAACATGGTACTCACTTTTGATACTTTGCTAGTTAAGTATGACGAGAGACTCAAGCGTGAGATGCGTTTAATGGATGCTTTTATTTGGTTCCAAGACAGCTATCTGAAGATTTATAGAGATGTCCAGTCTTTTTTAAAGCATTACATCAAGCCGGAATTTAAGTACAGCAGGGATATCCAGTTCAAAGAAATTTTTTATCCAGCTTTAATCAAAGAAGTCTTCGTAAAGTTTATGGAGCATTATTTACACGTTATTCCTAAAAAGTATCATTATTCTCCCGCTTTTATTATATCACTTTCAAAATACACTCTACAGATGTCTGAATCTGGTCAAATATCTGAAGCATCTTTATCTATACAGTTTAAGTGTTTAGCAAAAGAATTGTTGAATAATTACGTGGAAACTAGAGTGAGTTTGATGACTCAAATGCTCAGGAATAGCATTGCTAATAAGTCATGGACTGACACGAAAATGCCCAAGAGGATCAGCCCAGTTATTCGCAGAATTTTGGATGAATTTGCTATTATACTTCGTGAAGTACAAACTTTTTTTTATGATTCTAACAACAAGTTGCCTGAGTCGTTTAATGCCTCAGACCCGAAATCTCTACTCTCGGTGCAGCACTACACAAATCCAAATTTAGATTCCAATGTTGTGATTACCCAGATGTTGTTTCGTGAATCGCCTGTTTACTCAAAAGAAGTTGAATTCAGGAACGATTCCATCCTGTCCTGCATCATGAAGAGGATGCTGAAGTCGTTGCTGGAACTCGTACGACAGAAAACATTCAACCGATTCGGCATGCAGCAAATCCAAGTCGATGTGTTCTGCCTACAATCGTGTATTATGGAGAAGGATTTTATCTCGCTCTATGATGACATAATTTCCAGTTACTACAGCAGGTGCTTCGACCCAGAACTCATGAATCCTCATGTTGTTTCTGCAATCTTACAGGAAATTTAACACTTCTTGACATTTTCAGTAATGAACAGTACTTTCAAATTATATAAAGCGTCATTCCTCTGATCATCGTTGAACGAATGAGAAAACAAATGGGTTCACCGATGGAAATGTGTTCAGATTGTTTTTTCTATATTTTGCTTTTATATGGCTAAGTCAAATAAACGCTTGAGTGTACAGTGTGCAAAATGAAAAAAGAACGATATCACCCTGAATAACTTTCATTCTAATGATAGGATTTGCCCAAAATTATCTTAATATTTTCTGGACGTGACTTCAACAAGTTTGCTAATTAACTAGTGCTAACTATAAATTAAATTGCAATATATATATATATATATATATGACGC